AGAGAGAGAGAGAGAGAGAGAGAGAGAGAGAGGTCCTCAACGCAAGAAATATTGCACAAAATTCGTGGTCAGTGATTCAATGTTCATCAGCTATAAAAACCCGGTTTTCCATGCTTGAACTTGCTCAATAATCTCTCCTACCCTAATACAACCACCCAATTTAGTCGTTTATTATTGTGGATACATGAAAATGCCTCTCATCCAAGTATAAACTATAGTTTTGAGACAGACTATTTGGCAGGGGATCTTCATGTTTTTGTGCTCTTTGCCATTTCATCCACATCCAACTCGACTGCCAAAACAGGTGAATCCTTTTGCATCCCAAAGCGGCTGGCATAAGAATAAGAAACAAATTTTTTCGCCCAAATAATCATAGAACATTCATATTCAGAAGTTGTTATCAACATCCAATCAATTCATGAAGGTCATCATGACTTGGACCCATGAGCACATCCAACGGACTATTGAAAACCGCAGTCCAAATGGTCATCACTGTACAATGAAACAGCAGATGTTACAGAGTGAGGACCCACCAGAACAAGTCATGACTCCAGTTGTTGGTCCTTCCCATCACCATCCATTTCATTAGACAGGGATAACCAGCAGACATTGTTTTGCCACAGTAAATAGGGAAAGTATAGCATACAATGGGAGTATGGTACATGGCACACCATTAGAGCATCTGCAGTCCGGTTCTGAGGTATGCAGGTGGATTTACCATAGAGGGGCCCACTCCTAGTACCATTAATGTCCAACAGCTGTCATCAGGAATTGATGGTGGATGCACCAGCGGTGTACCATATGCCCTACAGGGTTCATGCACAGTATACACTTCCCCGGAACAAGAACAGGAATAGGAAATGAAAAATGAAAAAAAGAGAGGTAAAACACTTGCCTATTTTGTACAGGCCCATGGTCTATAGAGTTGCGCAAACAATAGATGACTCTGCCAATGATATCTGTCATTGGTACCGGTCCAAATATCCTGCTATCATGTGCCTCCTTCAAAGATAAACATATAAACAAATTAACAGCACAAAGAGTTTCTAGTTTTAGCTTTTCTGATAACTAGGGAGGAAAATTTTGTGTTTATACCATATGGAAAAAACTTTAAGATGAAAAAAAAGGTTTAATCAAAAGAGAGCTAATGGAAAAGAACATAAGAGATATTGTATAGTACAAAGAAAGAAAGAAAGAAACAAGAGGTGCTAGATCAACAGAGAAGATGCAAAGACAGATCCCTGTCTCTCTCATTTAATGTTTTCACTGTGGATGGCATGGCACTCTTGAGTTCTCATTACATGCCTACTTAAGTGAGCTTGGGCAAATATCATAACATAATCAAAGAATCAAGTTAAAGCAAGTGACATAATCATGATCAGATGGTTTTAAGTTGAGTGTATCCCAGAAGTTGTTATCATCAGTATTTGAATGACACGAGGATAAAGGAAACAGCACGTATCATAAAGATGGGCATATTCAGAATCAGAATGCACAATGGAATGCTACCAAAAATGAAAAATCATGGAAATAAAAGCATATTAAAATGCATTTAGTGTGTTCATATAACCGTATTTTGGCCTGAGACTCTATCCTAAACTCTACTCATACCAGAGAGCATTTAACATTTGAAACTCTCTCACCTTTTTTTTTTTTTGAGAATATTGATCACTTAGCACAGTTTTTGGCTACAATTCTACATCTTATCGAACATGGAAATTGCTAGAAATGAGTCCCAATCAAGAAGAGGACATAAATAAGTAATCCAGAATGCTCAGAACACAGAAGACACCGGCGCAAAATCCTTTTTGACTTGAATCTCATAGAAAAGGAATCCTTTTATTTGGAATTCACTACCTTAGCACTGAGAGATTCATTATCTGCTAAAACCCAGCATTGATCCTTTTCTAAAACAAAAGGCGTGTCTTTATCATCCTTAGAGACCATCTCATAACCTTCAACTGCAGCGAGTCTCCGAACAATATAATCATCTGGCTTCTCTGGGTCCTTCAAGATAACAACATCTCCAACAAAAACTCGCCTGTGCATAGATTAATCATTGAAAATCAAGTACAAACTACAAATTTTGTTGAGATGATATAAACTAACAAACTTGGAAAGATGTGCACAATATAATGCTGATTTTGATCAATCAAAGTATTTTGATAATGGCAAGGAATAAATATGATTATCTCTATATAGGTTATGTAGGTTAAATGGCAAGGCTAAAATATCCATACTTGACAACGTAGAATCATTAGTAACATAAATTTAAAAAACAGAGAAATCTATCATGTTATAAAACATAATTTATAAGTGAGCAACATATATCAGAGAAGCACTGAGGTTTCAAAACCTTAAAAAGTAAACCAAGAAGAAATACAGACCTTTCTTCAACAATACAAGAATCACAAATGGATGAAATGGTGGTGCAATACAATGTGAACATTCCAGGCCAAGAGGCAAACAATTCAGTGACACAGACTGTATGTACATATTCAATGCATTCTTTTTTCTTTTTTTTTTAATTTTAGATAAAAAAAAATAAAACCAAAACTTTTATCTTTTTGTCTATTGCAATTTTAATAGACTTATATCATTAGGAAGTGTTTAAAAAGACTCCACATTGAAAATAAAGTTACAAAACACCTGGAATCTCAAACTAAACTCAGATAATTATCCCCAGCTAGGGCAACTGCCAATTATTTCCATACCCACAGAAAGGATATCAACAAATATCCAGTAATAAAAATATCTCCTCTGTTATTGCCGTTTTCAAAAGCAATTTCCTTTCAATTCTTAATACGCCAAAGGATTAAATAGGAATAAATTCTTTTGGTTTCTTAAGTATTTTCAGGAAACAAACAAAGAACAACTTAACAACATTTAAATACCCCTGGGATTGATTTCCTTCTCCCTTGAGACCATCTGTCAAACATCACATATAGAATAATTAAGTGATAATACATGTTCATTAAATAATCTTCTCATCATAAGAGAAATAGTATATGTGCACAAATCAACAGTCATCAAGAATACCTTCCATCACTTGAAGATTTTCTATACACAGCTGGGGTTAATCAAGCGCGTGAGTAATTTTTAATTAACTAGATATTTAAATAATTTGATTGAATCGCATGACATCTTGCCTTTCAATGAACTGTTCAATAGTTAGCCCTCCTGTAAGAGCATCAACAATCATAATCCATGTACTTGAGAAATACAAAATTAACTCAGTTCTTTCGATCCTTTTTTGAGTAAATTGTCTGTACAGTATTTTATTGGCAGATGTCCTTGTAGATTACAAGGATCTTTCCCCTTTACAGTTGAGGGCCATTTATACCTTCTTTTGACCCTTGTTTTTTGAAGATTTGGATGTTCAGTTGCAATAGGTTTATTACATTAAACAATGACTGAAGTAATGTTAACCATATCAACTTCTTGAAAGTCTTCCCAATATTATACATTTCTTGACAGTTTGACAAACTGCTAAACATTTAGCTTCCATAAAAATATAAATTCATGGTATTGTTCTTGACCAATTCAACCCACTTTCTTGCAGAAAATATCACAAAATATCCTACAGTAACCTTGGTTGGTTCACTTATATAACCTTTATAAAGCATCAACATAATCAAATCCTAAGACTTAAATAATGAAAAAAACCCCAAAAATAAGACTATTATCAAAGAATTGAGTATGCAAATCCTACAGTAACCCATGGAGAATCCTTCAATCCAGCCCACCGAGGTCGATGTTCTAAGGATCAAGCCAACAAAATTTCGCCAAACTCTTTTTAGGATGTCAAATGACAAATCAATGAATAGCCAGAGACCAAAATTTTTTCTTTTCATGTAGCACATGGGCATGAACAAAGACACCCCGAAACCCATAAAAAGCTCAGTCGAGTCTAAAACCAGTCCATGATAAATAAAGGCCCTATTATTTGTCTAAGAAGGAACTCGGCTTAAAACTAAATATTAATTTCAAATCTGAAGCCATAACTTTCACATACGCATCTTTTTCTTTTTTTTGAACGTGTTAACCTTTAATAAAAGAGTGAATAAGTACAAGAGACCTTGGCAATCCACAGTAAAGGTTGGATGCTCACGGGATGAGAGGGCCAAAAGTGGAATCAAAATCCTCTTTTAAGAGGTTACAGTGAGACACAGCAAACTAGAAAAACAGGTCTATCCACCAAATTCAGTCCAAAAAATAGAGAGCAGAAACTAAGAAGCCCAAAAAACTTCTAGTCATCTGCCATTGCTGCTGCTTCTTTGGCAAGGGAGTCAGCTGCTTGGTTTCCTTCCCTCCATGTATGCATCCACAAGACGGACACACTCCTGCAAAGGTATTCGATTTCGTCAAACAAGTGGTTCAGATGCCATGGGGAGTGGGAGGAAGGAAGACTGCGCCCAAGAGATTGTGTTCTTGGAATCTCCCTCGACGAGGAGGGAATGTAGTGGAAGGGTTGCATGAGTTTGAAGCCTTCCAAGAGTGCCATCACTTCGGCCTCCATAGAATTAGCGTGGCCAATGTGTTTGGAGCCTGTTGCCACAGTAGCACCAAGGTGGCCTCTAACGATGGCTCGGATGCCCGAGGGACCAGGATTACCAAGAGAACAGCCGTCAAAGTTGAGCTTAAGCTTCCCCACAGGTGGAGGTTTCCATCTTGATGCTCGCGGCAATCGCAAGTGATGGAATTGAAGAACACTGCTCCAATCTTAGTTAGAGGCTGAGGAGGGAACACCTTAGAAGAATTGGCGGTTGGCTGCCCAAAATATGATTGTGGACTTAAGTTTGTTGAAGACTGTTTGTTGAAGACTTTGGGCCAATTTGAGAATTCCCCTCGGAAAATTATGTTGTTCCTCTCGATCCAAAGTGCCCACAAAGCAGCAGCCACCGTCATTTTCCAACGAAGGACCCCTTCTTTATGCCAAAGGAAAGGTTGGACGGAAGATATGATGGAGGTCACCTCTGCCGGTAGCACCCATTACATTGAACAATCTGAGGATAGCTCCCCAGAGATTGAAGGTGTAGGGGCAGTGCAGTAGTAGGAGGTTGTTTGTCTCTTCTTCTGAGAGGCACATGACACACATATTTGGAATCGGGATCCCTCGTCTATGTAGCTGATCCACTGTTAGAACTCTCTGTGAAAGAGCCAGCCACATGACAATCTTGATTTTTGGTGGTGTGAAAGATTTCCAAGCCTGGGCAGCTGTAGCCGTAGAGGCGAGAGGGAAGGCTGGTGGAAGAGAAAGGCTTCAAAAGAAAGAGGAAACCGAGAAGTCCCCTGATGGTGAAGGACACCAAATGATGCAATCAGGCCCGATGGTGCTATGAAAAAGGCCGGGAGTTCTGCCGCTAGAGTGGCGAAGCTTCGGTTTTGAGATCCAGTTCAGTTTGTGGGAAGCCCATCACTTTCATGACCTCCAGAATCTGGCCCTGTCCTTTGTCAATGCCGTCGACATAATCGGAGTCCATTGAAGGAGGGGAAAGAGGGTCCCCCATAGTATCAACTGAGGTAGAAGCTCCTGGAGAGGAATCAGGGGAAGAAGCCAAAGGCGATCGTAATGCCGACAACACAAGGAACTGTAGGCCGTCTGCCCCTGTGGGTCGGAAGATACCCGAGAAGAGCCTGAAAGGATCCCCTTGAGAATGGGTGACCAAATCAGTCAAAGAAGTGGAAGGAGATAAAGGACCTGCTTGAGAGGTAAGAGGAGAGGAACATGAATCAAAAGGCGTAGCAGGTTCAGGAGAAGAGGAAGTAGGAGAAGTAGTCACGGGAGGGGGGCCAAACCTGGTGTGGTGGGGCTAGCATTAAAGGGGTAGGTAAGGGTAGGTGAGGGTGGCAAAGTCAAGGAGGTGGTTTGGGAGCAAGGAGACAGATCAGGGGGAAGGGGGAGAGAGGGAAAGTAAGGTAAAAAGGTAGATTCTCTCTGGTGGGAGGAGGGCGGCAAAGGGGTCAGGTTGTGGAAGGGTTGGGTGTAGAAGAGGGGAGGGTGCAAGGTTGGGGATGAAAGGGGGCAGAGAGGACAATGTGACCACCGAGACCGAGATGATCACCACTGGTGGGTCAGCCAGAACACCCACGAGAACGAGAGAGATCACCAGGGTTCGAGGGTCCATGCCTACTAGGTTCTTCTCTGGATCAGGAGGAGAAGAGAGGCCTTGAAGGTTCGGGTCATCTCCCCAGTCTGAAAGGACGGGTCATCTCACCAGTCTGAAAGGAGGTTGATGAGAGCAGTAGAGCAGGTGGTGATTGAAACATAGTGAATAGGTTGTGAAGAAAGGGCCATAGGTGAATGGTCAAGCGAGGTAAGCTGGTGGGTCTAAAATGTACCGGGCGATGGGACATCCGAGGGTGATGATGGTGTTTGGGCCAGGGGGCAGTGTGTAGCAGCGACGGAAGTGACAGTGGAGTGGGTGAATCGCTAGGCGGTCATCCTGAGGAGAGGCAGATGGAGTGATTCCGGCAAGCTGCCGAATAAAATTTTGGCAGGAGAGGGTGAGTAAGGGTGCACGGTTCCTAGGGAGCCAGCGAACTCGGGAAGGGACAACGGGGGGGTGGTAGGTGGAAGGCGGGGATGGTAGCAGTGGACAGGTGTCTTGCATCAAGGGCGGCAGCGATGGGCATGCAAGGGCATGCGTGGACTCATCCAAACGTACCCTAGAATGTACGAAAGAAGGTGAAGCAACGGGTAAAGGCGTCGGCATCAGTACGGTTGCAGGTGAAAAGTCCTGATGAGGTGGGGTCAAAGATGGTTCAGCCCGACCCGAAAATTGCAGATGATGCCATGTGGCATGGTGGTTGGAAGTTGCAGGCTCCTTGCCCGATGTGCCAGGATACGAGGCTGAAGAGACTACAGAGTGCCTTGTGGTCGGTTGGTCAACTGTAGGCGGCTCCTCAGCTAGCGCACCGGGAAAAAAACGTAGGTGTGGTCAATTCCGAGGTGGAAAGATGCAGAGAGTGGGGGGGGGGGGTGGGCAGGGGCGGAGGATGTGGTGGTGGTGGTGGTGGTGGTGGTGGTGGTGGTGGAGGTGGTGGCATAGGGGGAAGGGATGCAGTGGAGGTCATGAAATTTGAGGTGGGGGGAGAGGGGGCACGACCACTAGTCTCTCAGGTGGCGGATGATAGGAGGTAGACGGTGGTGGTGGAGAAGTTTGAGGCGGTGGGCGAGTCGTTCTACCAGGTGGCAGGTGGTGGTAACAGTGAGTATGACGGGGGAACTGGTGTGGGGGAGTCCTACGAGGCGGTTGTTTTCAAGAGACTCTCGCCCAACTGTTCTGCTTCTCTACAGGCGTAGTAGAGTGGTGATTGTGAAGAGGATCAACTGGCAGGGGTCGGTCGAGGACACAAAACGGGGCGAGGGGGGAGAAGCCGTCGACCAAGAGATAAACACCGGAAAATAATTTCCGGCCACCTCGAGTCAGAGAAAGGGCGGTATAGAATGCGGATCGAGGACATCTACAATCAACAGTAGCGTCTCAAGCGCAGGCTCTCCAAAGACTGCCAGTGAACGGCCACAAAAGAGCCGCAGGCATTGCCAATGGAAGTGAAGGTGTCGAGACACCAAGAATGGAGAGGAATGTCGGAAGCCCTAATCCAAATCTTTTGACGACAGAAAGCTCCCAGGTCTGCAGACCATAAAGATAGGTGGAGGAAAGCTCTCTTGAAAGAGGTCGAGGGGCAGTTCTTTAGGGAGGACAGAGCTTTGTCAAAGGTGGGGAAAGAGAAAATGAAAGACCCGTTGGAGAGAAGGCAGCAGGAGAGGGCTGGTTCCTTCAAGATTTCTTTGGCCCATCTTTCAATTCCTTTGCAATTGTTGCGCTGAGGATTGAAGACTCCTTACCAGCGATGATTTGTAGAGGTTAGCAAGATTTGTGGCAGAGGAGGTTGGGATAGAGATGGGACGGGGAGGCGCTGCGGAAGGGGTGCTCAAACTGCCCATTAGTCTTCTTCCTTGTTGGAGCTTCTTCACAGTTTAAACTTCTTACTTTATGTAGTCGATGTAATTCATCAAAAAAGTTTTATCTTCAATGCCCTTGCTAAAAGGCCAAGCAATTGGGAAACTTGGATCTAGGCTATAGAGCAAGATGGTGGAGGAAAACCTGTGGTCTAAACATTAGAATTAAAGCATTGATCACATTGAATGTAAAGGTACTGATAAAGTGCATGAGGTTTGGTAGAGAAATAGTTATTGCTCATCCAAGGATTCACATATGCATCTTTTCCTTTATACTATTCCTTCTTATTATGGAAATAAGCATCGAACACATTGTTGGCTCAAAAAAACAAGCATCGAATACATCAACACCTCTACATTCTTTTCTGGAGCTGTGACAGACAATACAGTATTGTGTTGGATACTAGGACCAATATCTAGATCCTCGAAACATGGGTATTGAATGGGAACTTCATTAATAGATACTTTTCCAATGGAGTAGGGTAGTAAGGTAGAGAGTGGCTCTTCCCCATTGATATCTTGGTTTGCGTTCATGCATGGGTAAGCCCAAAGGCATCTAGGTCCTATTGGTGGAGAAGCTCGAGAGAATACTTTCCCTGGAATCTGTGTAACTCGCAAACACGCGTTCTTGAAGGGTGCCGAAATGCTAAGTAGCCACATGTTTATCCAACATTTTAGCCTCTTTAACCTTTTTATTAAGAAAATATCACCATTAAAATACTTAAATGTCATTTAAACTGCCAACTCCCAAACTCCACACCACCATCCCCTCCCCCCACCCACCCAATCCCCTGGGGCCCCAAAATGATATACGTTACTAAATGGTCAATTTTGGGGTGGGTGTTTTTTCATGCATGTAGGCGCGTAGGATGCTGACACATGTTATCCATGTCTTTATAGCATAGCATGGCTTCACACACACACACACACACAATGCAGCTCAAAATATGAGCAATCCGTTCAACATTATCAAGAGGTTGTTAAGCAATCTTCTAATGAAATTCTTGACGTAGGAAAAGTTTCCAACAATTGGTCAACAATACATCTAGTGCTTAAGAACATGGAACTGAGCAGGGGCAGGGGCAGGGGCAGGGGCAGGCTCTGAGTTGGCTGGCCAAGTCTTGAGCCTGACCAATCAAGAATCGTACCATAATAATTGGGGTTCTTTTAAAGACCCAGTCAGACTCAGTCAAGACTTTGGGTTACCCAAGTTGGGGTTATCCATTGCAAGCGCCTCAGGCAAGTCCGAGTCAAACTCATTTTTAATAGAGACCATCTCAACTACTTCACTTGGTACAATTGTGGTGAGATAAATACTTAATGAAAACCAACCAAACTATAATAGATACTCCCAAATGATATTGTTTAGTAGAAATTATGACAAAATATGACATTGATTTATGATAATATACTTAATGGATGATGACCAACAAAGGTAAAAAACAACCATTTACACTTCATATTTTGAGTCTCATGGATGCATCAATTGAAGTAATAGATGATTAAATAACTAAAAATTTCCGAAAATTTCTCCTCTAATCTCCACTAGAAATGGTGAACGACAAACATAATGAAATAAGCAAATATAACTAACACATATGTAACTGTAATCATGTTATAAAGGGAGACAGACATACGTTGGTTCTGGATATGGTAATTTTCGTACAAGAAGAGTTCCTTCTTTCCCCGTTATTGTCGGAGCCATCTCCTCCCCATGTTTCCAATGCAAGTAGGTTGTCAACTTGACCTGGAGCAGATTTTTTATCATACTGTCACTTACTTGATCATTTCTTATTTGTCCTACTTTATATTTCTGCACAAAAATAAATGATTTGTCAAAATACCTTCATGGTATGTGGAAATCATTTCACTAACCTCCACTGAAAGCATTGTGAAATGCAATAAATCATACAATACAACCAATAGGCAATCAATGATATACAAAAAAATAATAGAACTAAATCATAACAGTTAAAAACAAAATAAAAGTGGTCTGGTAATGAAGCACCAGAAATGGGTCACATTGTTGATCGAATGTCAAAGAATTTCAACGGATGCTATATTGTGCACAAATCATCAATTTATAATGTTAGTAGGAGAAATTACCACGAAATTGCTCATTACATCATCCAAGTAGTATGGCAGTAATGTGAGATTGAAGAGAAGGGAAATAATGAGAAAAGAAACACTGCAGGGACTCAAAGATGGACACAAGTCTCCCCTATATGAATTTCATAAAAATAGAGACGAAAATGAGTTAACTTAGAAGCATTACTCTATATTACGAAGTGTAAGAGAATAGCAATGCTCATCCTAGTATGTAACAAACCAAATCTGCAGTACACATATACGTGTGTGTGTGTGTGTGCATAAGTGTAGGACCATAGATTCAGGCAATCAAATATGTTAAATCATAGGGGCTAAGCTAAAGTTTAATGTTATGCCTCATGGTTGGCACATAAGACATAAAAATGTTATGGTAATACTATAACTCTGAGCATGTTTATATGTCCTTAATCCTTACTTCCACAATTTTTACACATCCAAACAAATGCATACTAACCCAAGAAATTTCGACCACTTTTCTTAACACAAAACAGAGTTTTAGCATTTTAATTGATGGTTAATGAATGCCAGAATCAATTCAATTAGACTAAAACATAGTTTATCTATCTCTCTTATTTGCCCTTCTCTAGAGCACTGTTTTGATGTTGATAGGTGGCCTTAGCCATAGTCTTCATTCTCAAGAATCACAACTCCTCCATTAAACATCGAAGCCTTTGGAGTTAGTTTAATCCTCTGATTTCTATGACGAAAAACAAAATCCACAAGAGACTTTGAGATACTAGCATGGAATTTGTATTTTAATCAAATCATCACATAGTAACAAGCATCACACAGCAAGGCAACTGTATCTAAAGAAAATACAAGAAAACAAAACGTATTTCTAGTTTAAAAAAAATGGTACACTCATTAGGGATTTACATTAATATTCCAATAGGAGCAAGTGAGCAACACAATGCCAAAAAAAAAAGAAATACACATATAAATAGGGAACAGAAATTTGATACAGTTTCTGATTCAACAGCTTATTTCAATATAAAGCATAAAAAGATCATGGTGTTTACCTTTGTAGGCAATGGCCTACTAATGATATTTCTGATCATGATCATAGAAAAATAAAAAAAAAGAAAAACACCTATTTACTAAACTATGTTTTTGTTCACAGAAAAGGAAATGAATTTCTGGGCATCCCTTAAAACCCAACATAAATCTCCGTAAATTATAACCAAGCTACCCAAGAATCAAAGATATGCAGAACAGAAAAAATTTAAACGAACCCAACATTAAAATCAAGAGAAACTATTTCGAAATCACCCAAGAAAAGGCCAAATAAGAGGGAAAAGAGGAGAGAGAGAAAGCTAGAGAGAGAAAAAAAGCTAGAGAGAGAGAGACTAACTTTCCAGCTGAGAGCAACAGAGTACTCCAATCTGTGAGCAAGATATCTGCAAAGGGTGGAAATCGAAACCATGGCCGCAAGCCTGCAACGATGGTCCTATGCATTACTGTGTATCTGGTTCCCGTCTTTCGAATGCCATTAGACCTCTCAAAAACCAGTCCCTTATTTAGCACCCAAGGTCCCGACCAAAATAATCAATGTTTATACCAAAGCACCAAATCTACTCCCGCGGGAGTACTAAACTTTTTGGGTGTATGGAAAAACCCGTCAGATTATTCACCACGCCACGTCCCAACTCGTAAAATTCGTTTTCTTACATGTCACATGCGGGCGGATAAAGTGCCAACATGGAGTCCCGAGCATTCGTTTTAAAGCCTGACAATCCGGATCGGAAATCTGATTCAGATCACGAATTGCTTGTGACGGTTTTGGGAAGGTATGTGTATTGGCATAGTTTTCCTATAAAAGTCCTTGTTCTTTTTTTTTTTCATTTTTTTCGCTTTTTAAGCTCATCTAATGTTTTTTTAGATCCTCATCCCATAAAATTCTTATTTTATTTTATTTTTACTTTTAAACTTCTAATTTTTTTGGATTACTGATTCAAACTAATTTGGATCATGGATCTAGTAATCCAACACAGGTATGTAGGGTAGGCGATATGCCCTACTGATAGGGGTTTTAAATTACCAGTCTCAAGTATTACATTTAAATTTTTGTAAAATATCTCATACATTGTTCCTGTAATTATAATAGCAAATAATCCCTCAAGTAACCATCCCAAGCCCCTACAATTTAAAAGAAAATGACTTTTAAATCTTTCATCACCTTTATAAAATATCGAAATTTTGACAATGAAAGAACTACAGGGAGGGTTAAATGTCTATAGACTTCCCATAGACCCAATGGTTCATTTGGGATTACAATTATGGGGAGGGGATATACATCTTTTTCCCTAAATTTTTTGTACCAGTTACTACTTGCGTTATTATTTTTTTATGCACACCCAAAATGCGGCATGTAACTAGAATTTCTAGTCGAGCGTTTGGATGGAAAGGGCACAAATTTGAATGTAATAGCAAAGTAGTGTTTACTACATAACTACTTGCTTTTTGAGTTCATGATGTGATATCTAACATTTGGAAATGTATCACAAAGTTCAAAATATATTTTTTAAAACTTTGAGCTTGATCAATGATACCGTAAGTAGCCCCATTTCAAATTTTATGCTCAAGTATAATTGTGACCTTCTTATACCAAATGCAAAAATTGTTCATCCCAACATAAAATAATAATAAATAAGTAAGTAAAAAATAAAATCGACAAACAACTTACTCGAATCTATCCTTAAATAACACGAGAGACATAAAGTTCTATACCAAATCCTATAGACTAAGCTATCCGGTGACGGACAACTTTAAGAGTCTTCTTTGATGAATCTCATTCACCTCTTTTCTATTGTTCTATCTATTTCTGCTTGAGGTGTTAACCTCTTTTTATAAAAAACCATATTTTGTAACTCTCACATTCATGGTATATAGGAGTTAAAATACAAGTCTAACTCATGCTTTAATTTCTTTAAGTGCAACCAATTAAGATTAACAAATTGTCATCAAACTGTTAATCCTATACAATAAGCTAAACCTGTCATTAGTGCACTAATGACTCTTATCATGAGATGTCATCAAAGCATTCATACAACTTGATAAAAGATATTTAAAAACTAAAAAACTTTGTACATCTGTAACATTAAAAAAAAAAAAAATTATTACAAAGAATCCAAACACATCACTTGGTTTTCCTTCTAATACAACATCTTATAAAAACTCCAAAATAGATCCTAATATATGACATTGTCTCATGTCAACCACATGAAATTTCACATATACTATACAATATGACTTTTGTATCATTATTGAAAAATAAATTCCCGTGATAAAAAAAACCTGATAGGCCATATTTCCAACAAAAACTTTTATTAAGTTGTATTTTATCTTAGGATCACTAAGGTGACTACTATTAACCTCACGGTAGCCCTATATTTAGTAAAGCCAAAGATATGCTGTTTAGGTCCCTTTATTGCCTCGGATGAATTTCAAGCTAACAATATTGTAGGACTCCAAATTTTGGGGATTTAGCATCTTGAGCATAGCGATCAATCTAAAAAATTCTATTACTTGAAAAGATTAAGTTCCAAGGTTGAACAAGGAACCTCCAATGTTTGGAGGCCTAGATCTAGGTGTTGAAGAAAAAAAATATATATATATTTTTTTTTAAATAGTCAGCAAACGTTATGCTTAGTTGGATCCCAAAAATTCAAAAGAAAAAAAAACTCCAAAATATTTCTTTTACCTAAGGGAATTAATGTACAGTATGCTCCTCCTAGAGCCTACCATACATGCTCTCAGTAAATGAATGACTTCGAACCATCCAAATTAGTTCAATGATTCTGCATGGTCCTCAATGGGGAATCACCCTTAGTTGTCCAGAACCAAACATTGTAATAAGCAACATATTCATAGCAGGGAGTCGAGTGATTTTGGAATACCAGGCATTTTTCCCTTATTTTCATATTTTATATTTCTCTTTTTCAAAATTTAGGGCTATCTTACTCATAATTGGCAAGTCAGTTTGGGAATATCCCAGCTAACCCGATACCATTTTATTATATATCATCAGTTTGACCTGGACATGGGTCCAACACGCAGGCTCTAGACGTGGGACCCAAACACAGACCAGGTCAGTCAACTGACGTTAAAAGCAACCCTACGAGAAAGAAGGGTCAATTGCTCAATGCAATAAATTTCTCACAAATTCACGAGCAGGCCAGTGTTCATTGACTGCAAAGACCCAGTTCACTGGAGAGCCGACTGAATAACTTCTGCCTCACATCAAAACCCATTTTACTCAAGAGTCCTCTTTGATCATGGTCTCAGAGAAGCACGTCAAAGAACTGAAATGTTTCTCTAAAACCTATTCATATTTTCGTGACCTTCGCCATTTCATCGACATCCAACTCAACAGCCAAAACAGGGGAGTCGTCTCGCATTCCAAAGCGGCTGCAGTGCGCATAGCATGAGAATAAGAAACTGGTCATCTCAAATAAGTGAAATCATATGATGATTGGTAAGTTCACATAATCATAGAGAAGCTATGTCACTGGTCACAAAGAGGTTATCGCCGTCCAATAATACATGAGTGGTGATGGAGAGTGCGGGACCTCTACGAGATACACATAACCCAAATGCTCGGTCCCACTCTCTCTAACTCGCCGTCCATAAATTGATGGGACAGCTTTCTATATTTCCCCTACTGCATAAAAGATAATATGCTTTCCTCCTATCCAGCCGTCCAATTTAGATCAAGTGAACCATTGACCGTTTGATCTAGATCCGACACCTCGGAGTATTTTATTTTTAACTTTTTTCCACAAATCTTATGAATATGAAATTTGCACATGCCATCATCTCAATAGGGCGCACCTAAAGAAAAAATTTAACAGTAATTCCAATAAAATAAAATGACAAATATACCCCCAAAAGTTTCAGAGATATTTTGATCATTTTATTTTATCAAGATATTTTTTTTATATGTTTTTAAGGTGTGAGTTTAAGAGAGGAATAGACGCCCAAAATTTGCTTTCAAAATGTATTGTAGAAAAAAAATAAACCAGTCTAGAGACATGTGATTGGTCCATTTCAACCGTCCATTTAGATTGGATGGCTGGATATGGGGAAATATATAACTTCTATAAGTATAGAAACATTTCCCTAAATTGATTAGATGGTGATAACCACTTGTGACAATAGATTTTATATGATCACATGGATCACTTTACATTTTTCCCAAAAATAACTACAACTACATTATAATCTATTAGACCATGGAAATATTTTAATCCGCACCATTCAATGAAATGGTGGACATTGATGGACAGTGCGACTCACCAGAATAGGGCATGAACCCTATGGTGAATCTTACTTTCTCTCCATTACCGTCCACTTAATTGGATGGTGATGGCCGATTGGTAATGGTCAAGTCCAATCCATTGGATCACAATATGATTCCCCTAGTTACAAAGGGAACATGTCCCATACACCAACAGTGTATGAGTTGCACCGCAAGGGCATCCACTGTCCTTTCTTCAAGAAATTAAACATAAAGTGGTTCCCCTTTCAGTACACTTAATCTCCATTATACGTCATCAGGAACTGATGGTGGACATTCGCCCCCATGGTGTATCATATACCCGATAGAATATATACTCTATAGAATATGTGAAAGGTGATTTTTTTTTTATTATTAGGTAAATCAGTGGGGATGAAAGCCCCTACCCATTTTTTTAAATCAGGTTTTTGAATGCGTTAAATGAGAATGGAAGCCTAGACTTTAGCTGGGACACAAGTGGTGCTACCACCATGACCCCAACCCCATTCTCAATGAAAGGTGATTTCTCCACAAGAATAGAGAACTTTCAGATGAAGAGAAAGGAAAAGAGACTACAAAAACAGAATAGATACATGCCTATTTTGTACAGGACCATGATCCGCAGAGCTGCACAGGCAATATATGACTCTGCCAATTATGTTGGCCATGGTAACTGGTCCGAATGTTCGACTATCACGTGCTTCCTTCAAAAATAAATAAATGTATTAGAAGTGCAAATAATATGTAATTTGATTTTATTTCTTGATAAGTAGCAAAGGAATTTTGTTTAGGAAGTGTAGCTAGTAGCTATACACTATGCTACAAAATACGAGGAACAGGGAACTTGGCGAAAGTTGATTAGTGCATGAAACCCAATGCAGTCCTTGTCAATCATAAATTCTTTGAAAGAACAGAAATAAAGAAATTAGACAAAAAAAAAAACCATCATACGTTTATCAGTCAAAAATATCCCCCCCCCCTCTCTCTCTCTCTCTCTCTACACACACACACACACACACAAAAAAGGAACTCAATAAGATGAAGAAAAGGGATCAATTAGATAAAAGATGAGAGGTGGTAGGTCAATAGACAAGGTAGTGAATCGCACCCTTTGTGAGCTTTGAGCACTCAGAGATTTATTATCGGCTAAAACCCAGCATTGATCCTTTTTCAATACAAAAGGTTTGTCATTGTTATCCTTAGAAACCATCTGATACCCTTCAACTGCCGCCAACCTCCGAACAAGATAATCATTTGCGTGCTCCGGGTCCTTCAAGATAACAACATCCCCAACAAAAACTTCCCTGTGAATTCAGAATAATAACATTTCTCATTGAAACCCAGGTATATATTCTGTTTGATATTATAAAGCACGACACAAACTAGGAAAAATATTCTGATAATACAAAGGTTAACTTGATAATACGAAGGTTAACTTTGATTATATCTATGCAAGGATTTCAATAATCACAAGGCTGCTTCTGAACATATCAATATAAGTTTTCATATTTGGCAATGAAGGTCTGGAATGACATATATTCAATAGACAGAACTGTTGTCTATTTTAGTGCAATATCTATAAAAAGGAGAATCCGAAACAGAAAACGACTGACGCCTCGAAGCCTAATATTGTGCAGTAACTTAAAATATACACCCCTACTAAATATGAAATGCACAAATAACTAAAAATGTACACCCTTCTCAATATGAAATGCACTAAAACGATGAAATATTTGGGTAATACAAATTAAATTTCCATGTTTAGAGGCAAGTAAACCAGTGAGACACAATTTAAAGACATCATTCATGCATTCTTTTTCTTTTCGGTTTTTTTTTTTTTTGGGTGCATAAATCAAAAGAAGCAAGCTAAAACTTAGTTATCTTTTCTCCTTTGATATGCTAGTCAACTTCTTATGCTGAGATGTATCTTACGAACATCTGTAATCAAGAAAAATTTACAAGAGAGCCTAGATGCTCAAACCAGACAAACCAGACCCATATAAATTACCCCATGCTAATACATCAGCCATTTGCTTCCCTGTGAAAAGCAGACAAACATACGTTGGTCTTGGAAGTGGTATTTTTCGAACAAGAAGTGTCCCTTCTTTCCCTGCTATGGTTGATGCCATCTCTTCCCCTTGTTTCCAATGCATGTAGGTTGTCAACTTGTCCTGGAATAGATTTTTAATCAAACTATCACCTATTTGATCATCTCTTATTTCTCCTACTTTATATTTCTGCAAGAAATAAACAACTTGTCATCTCTATCTATAATGAATATGGAACTTTTTTTAAAAAATAAAATAAGAAAGGCAACAAAATATGAATATAAGGTTAATTATAGCTGTGCATGAATCTCATGAAGTGTGAGGTTAACAGAAGCCCACAAAGCAGGTGCCCAGGGTACATCATAGATCAAAAGGCAGCACACATGTTGGGTGCTCTAGATACAAAGCTAGTGAAGAGGTAGCAGGCGGCCCACATGATGCTGGGTGCTCTACAAAGGTTGAACTCATTTTGTTAAACACCAATGAACTTAGCATTTGATGCAAATATGCAATCAATCACATATACCATCAATAAGCTACTAATGATTCACAGCACGAACTTTAAAGAAAATTGCAACAATAGCATAGAAATAATAATTTTGAACAAGAAATAGTCAACTTGATACATTCCCACACGCATCGAGTGATTTGATTCAATTTCTTTGAGGGAATCATGACTCACAAAATTGTAAGTCCTCTTGCCTTCAAAGTGTCCTGCGACATATACATATGAAAGAAGAGACCAAGACTAATAACAATGTTCTGAAACACAACTGGGCCAAGGTACTCAGACCTTGGCTGAGGCATTTTTTCGGGCGAGTCCGAGTTACTCGCCTGAGTTCAGTCCTATTTAAAAAAAAAACAATAGAATAGTTATAAAATATAATCCGCCTCCCCTTTACATTATTTATCGACTGGCGTGGTGGTTATTCTAGTCGGCGGCTCCTGCATGAAGGATCCTGGGTTCGATACCCAGGAATCAAATTCTTTTGGCTGTTGTATTTTGACACTTCAAAAAAATGACAGTGCTTTGTGTGTTAACCCTTTAAAAAAAAAGACGGCAACACTAAATCAGGGGGATTTGAACCCCCGTTATGACGGCAACACTAAGCGTGAGCACCATCCAGAAAGCCATCGTGCAACTTGTGAGAAGAAATGGACATAATAATTAATATAAACTTTAGAAATTGGGCATACACTTTACTCAAACAAAACTCGCCTCGCCCATACAATGAGGCTGAGTTACTCGGCCGAGTCTGAGTTGCTTCGGCCAATTCTCAGAACCGTGACTAATAATTCACACAGCCAAGAGTTTCCATAATGGATAACCCACAAACTAATAGAAATATCACACATAACTCCATATTATTCACCTACTAAAAATAGAAAATAAAATAAATAGAAAGAATGAAAAAGGGGCATATCATTCCCTTCCTTCAATTAAACCCTTGCCCTCAAGTGTCGAAACCAGGAAATGCTCTGAGAAATTAGGCCAAACAACGCATGGACATATAAGCAACAGTCAAACCATGGTTGGATAATGGTAGTTCCTTTCTCTTATGGTTTGTCTGTCTCCTATGCTGCGTCAGTTTTGGATTCGTCGTTCAAATCCCATGATCATTGCTAGTTGTGCCTTGCATTGTGCCAGGGAGCAAATTTGTCATAACAATTTTTTTTTGAGTAAATTAATTTGTCATCGTAATTAAAGCATAACCCCACCCTTTTACTCCTTTCCGCCATCTCAGCCAGTCTGAAACTCTTGATGGGTAGCAAACACCAACCAAGCAGCATTCCTGCGTATGCTGATTTGCCTAGAATTTGCAGAACAGAATTTGGTCTGCAGCGTTGATACTGTTTTTAAAGGCTCGCGGTAGTTGAACTTGACCCCCATCCATGCTTCTTCTTTCAAACAACAACTAATCATGCAGGGCTAGTCAACCCTATGGTTTGATTGGCCAATCATTTGAATCTAGTATGATACTCAGTACTGATCTGGACTACTGAAGCTAGGAAATAGCTCCTCCCAAGTCTGACCGATCGCAATCATGCACAAAGTGCACGTGTAAATTTAGGCCAACTCATCACTCCAACCACCCTCTCCGTCCATTGAAATGACGAAATTGCATCTCTCATGAGATGAGCAGAGGCCAAATGGAACCATATGTTCATAGGAGATTTGGTCGATCCTTCTGAATTATTCATCCCTAAACATCCAACCCATAGGATCCTCCCTTCGAATATTGGAAGGTTGACCCTGAATAATCCGTGCTTTTGTGGTTGTTCCCTTTGGTTTCATATTTTCTTGCACCGCACCTTGAAATTGGGAACCTGGTTTCAAAGCAGCTATTATTTATCTCAGGCTCTCAATGATTCACGTGTCTCCTTCTGTTGGTGAACTAATTGCAACAAGGTTTAATCATAACGATCGACTCATTCTACTAAGTTTCTTCGGCTCTTCCATTCCTGCTCAGGATGACCCTAGCAAAAACCAATAACAATCTTTGCTTGCTCAGGTACCGAATCATATATTTCCACACGTATCGAGTGATTTGATCAGATTTCTTCAAGGGAAATCGTGCCTCTAGCAGAATCATTCATTCTCTTGCCTTAAATAGAGTCATGCGACATTATAAAGGAGAAGATACCAAGACTCACAACAAACAAAGCTATGAGTTTCCATAATGAACAACAAAAAATTAACCACAGCTAAAAGAGATAACCCACACAACTCACAGAATCCATATTATTTACCAACTAAAAAATAGGAAATAATATAAACAGAAAGAATGGAAACATATCAGAAATAAGCCACAATCTTATGGATTGGCAAACTTCAGCGTTAGTAGACACTATATCAAGTACAAATAATCGATTTACCATGTTAAATGAAGATAATTACAATAAAATTCATTTTTACAAGATTTAAGCCTTAAACTAAAGCAGTAATATGATAAATAGAACATAAATAACGAGCAATTGAAACACCAACTTGAAGCCGGAGGAAATCTAAGAAATAGAAGGCAAGTCTCCTCTATATGCATTTTACAAAGATAGAACGGAAATGAGTTGACTAAGTGACACTATTTTGCATTTGTATGTGTATGAGACTAGTAATGCACATACTAGTAAATTAATATCAGATGGCAATACATGCACATATTTATATGCTTACATTTTTGTGAGATCACCGATGATCAAATAAAAAACACTAATTTCACACATTGTGGTTAGTAGATACGAAATAGAAAAGAAGGCTTCATGATGCAAGACCATAACTTTGAGCATATGAACATGTTTACTTGTATAATGTGTACACCAAAAATACATATGAAACAAATACGTTTACCGTTCTGCTACCTGAAAAAGTATGACCATTGTACTACAACTACAAGGAGAGGGGTAGTGGGTCAAGGTGGTTGATAAATGCATGAATTAATTCACTTGCCCTAAATCCTAATTACTTATCAGAGTCTCTCTTCTTTATTTTTTTGGGAAATTATCCAAATTTCCATGTGAGATCAACTACTTAACATTCTACCCATATCTTTTGATTTAATTTCAAACCACCATCAAAAGCCACATGCTCATGAGTTCAAATGGTTGCAAATGGATAAACTGTTGGATAGTTCATCTCTAATGAGTATTTTGATGGATTTACCTTATTTTTTTTAGCCTTTTCTTACAGTTTTCATAAGTAGCTAGAATCACGTTCTAATTCTCACTAACCAGGTAATCACAATGGCATTAAAAATCAAAGCCTTCTCAAGGCATCATGATGTGCTTGAAGTGGATTTAATCCTCTGACTCCTTTATTCCGGGAAAAAAAAGAAGTTTGAGATATTGGCATGGAATCTGGATTCAAATTAATGAGTCATACAATAACAAGCAAGTGTACCACCACAATGCAATTCAATCTTTAGAAAATACAAGCAAATACAACACATTTCTAATTTCAAGAACAAAGAAAACGATACAGATAGAGTTTGACCACTTATCATCAGTAAACTAAAATTTTTAGCATGCTAGTCATAAAACCCTTATGCAAAAACCTTGCTTGGCTCCATTCTTGACCCTATTAATTTGAAAAATGCTCCACAACGCCACTAAAGTAAATATTAAAAAAAAAAAAAATTGCCTTAATTCTTGATTTGAAGTAAACAAGAAGAGACCAACTAGGCAGGTCCAAACGCACCCGTAGGCAATGGAAAAGAACACCAGTAATAACAAAAGGCAAAAACATCTATAAATAAAACACCACATTACAGTTTCAGATTCAACAGCTAATTTCAATACAAAGTTAGAAATGGTACAACATATTACAGCAGCTGCCTCCGGAGCCGATGTCCTGGAGATAATATTTGAGTCCAAATCCAAAAGTTAGAAATAAGATTATTCACAGGACCATCGTTTTGTATCCCAGAAAAGGAAATGAATTTCTGGGTACGTCTCAAAACCCAAAAAAACAAAACAGAACTTCGAAAATTCTAAAAAAAAATACCCCATGAATCAAAGATATAAAGGACAGAGGAAATTCTACATGAACCCAAAAACAAAATCCCCCAATTGAAATCACTCAATAAGAGGCCGAATAGAGGGGTAAAAACTAGAGAGCGAGCGAGAGAGAGAGAGAGAGAGAGAGAGAGAGAGGACTAACCTTCCAGCTGATAGCAGCAGAGTACTCCAGTCTGTGAGCAAGATATCTAAAAAAATGTGAAAAGGAAACCATGGCAAGCCTGCAATTGCGATCCTATGCACAGGACTTTGGCCCTATAAGCTTTCCCTTCTTCAAATGCCAATAAGCAACTTTAGCAAGACAAAACCAGCAAATGCCCAAGCCCAGGACCGAAAGAATCTAGAATGAAAATCCCCCAAAAACCGCAATGCTTTTCGTGCTGTACATCTACTCCATCGGCCAAAATACTTAGGAGAAAGTACATAGCGAAGGCTCTAAACAATCAAATTAGAGCCGACCTCCAAAATTTCGCTAGAAGGGTTTTTTTTTTTTGTCCAAATATCTTTAAATTGATCATCTAGGCATCAAAATGCGGACATTAGGGAAAAAAAATAGGTTTTAAGATTCGGAAAGAGTGCAGTTTGTAATATAATTTTTGACCGTCAATTTTCAAAAATTTTAAGTTTTTATAGATACGTTTGAATACACAGATTTTTAAGCTTTAAATTTTATATTTAAAGATGTAAATATATTTTAAGGCTATCACAAAGATTTTCAATATTAAAACCATATTTCTTGACTCTATTTGAAGGTCGACTGTAATTTGATTGTTTACAGCTTCGCCTCCATACAAACCGCACCAAAATACATAAGGTTGCCTTTATTTCTAGTAAATTCCGTTAGGACTAAAGCCATATATAACCAAAATACATAAGGTTGCCTTTATTTCTAGTAAATTCCGTTAGGACTAAAGCCATATATAACCAAAATACATAAGGTTGCCTTTATTTCTAGTAAATTCCGTTAGGACTAAAGCCATATATATATATATATTTTGCATCTTGTAATGTATTTTTTTACCATCAATTTTCAAAATTTTCATGTTTTTATATATATGCTCGATCTACACAATTTTTGAAGCTTTAAATTTTATATTTAAAGATGTAAATATATTTTAAGGCTATCACAAAAAATCTAAAGGTATATATCTATCAGTGACCCACATTGCGCATCCAAAAAATTTATCTAAATTAGTGGATCACATTATGGATTGGTGATTCAATTGAGTATCAAGACTCTAAAGGTGAGTTCTAGATATATCATATTCTTCAGGAGCATAGGTAAATATCATCAAAAATCATGTTTATTGAGTTTGTTTATCCTATCTATTGCCTGTTAAGCCAAATGGTTTAAAAAGCAGATCGGTGACCCAGATCGGGCATCTCGAAAACCGATCCGGATCGGAAATTCGATGAATTGGTCAAATTAAAGCTTTAAAAAAATCCAAAAAAATTATTAAAATTCATTATAAATATTGTTTTTTAGGAACCCAATAAGAAATGAGGGTACCACATTATTAACTTTCATTTTTTTCATCAATTTGTAAATATTGAGATGCTCTTTTCCTTTATAAACTTAAGTATTAAATTTGCATCACATAAAAGAAAAATCATAGAATTATCATGGATAAAATATATAATTATGCATGGACTATAATAAAGAGTAGACTAAATCAATTAAATAATGACCATTAAAATCTCATTTTGGCGAAAAACCTAATCCGCTAAAAAAACCCAAATTATTACAGCCTAACTAACTATAATCTAAAATTATTACAACCTAACTAATTATAATATTATATACTGAAATTATAATTATTAGTTTACATTTTATAATTATTTTATTAGATAAATAATAACAAATTAAAAATATTTTATAATATTATCTAATTTAAAATGTATTATTGATAATTGTAAGAAAAATAGTACATTACATGATTTATAATGTAAAAATTAATAAATAAAATAAAAGATTTGGTTATCAATGTAAAAATTTATAAAATGCGTACAAAGTTTGGAAATAACACTTTAATTTATTATATGCCCAAGGGGGAACAAAAATTATATAGCCCAAGGGGGGATTCAAACTTGAGAAGTCAAAGCAAATAACATTAGTGATAACCATAATGCCTCCTTAGCGTATGTGTTTAAAATTGCCTATTAATAGGATATATTTACATTTTGTTTTCATTTAATGATGTTTGGGAATTGTCCCACATCGAATGATGAGTATTCAAATATACTATATAAATAACTATGTAGTTGGAAGATAAACACAAGTGTGAAAACATTGTGTGTCGCACGTGTGTACACGTGTGAAGGTGTTTTTGAGGCCACGTGTGGGAGTGGCGCGTATCGCATGCGTGGTGCGTACACACGTGTGAAAGTGCTTTTGAGGCTAGAACCGGGAGGGAACCACGGTGCGTACACACGTGTGAAAGTGCTTTTGAGGTTAGAACCGGAAGGGAACCGCACCACTCCCACACGTGTGTACGTGTGACACAAGCGATACACACTCCTACACGTGCCACACACTCCCAGCGGTACGCACTCTTACACGTGCCACACACTCCCACACGTGCGACTCGCATAGCAGTACACACTCCTACACTGAAAGTGCTTTGAGGCTAGAACAGGGAGGGACCGCGGTGCGTACACACGTGTGAAAATGCTTTTGAGGCTAGAATCGGGAGGGAACCGCACCACTCCCACACGTGTGTACGTATGACACAAGCGATACACACTCCTACGCGTGTACGTGTGACACAAGCGATACACGCTCCTACACGTGCCACACACACTCCCAGTGGTCCTACACGTGCCACACACACTCCCAGCGGTACACACTCCTACACGTGCCACACACCCCTACACGTGCGACTCGCATAGCAGTACACACTCCTACACTGAAAGTGCTTTTGAGGCTAGAACCAAGAGGGAGCCGCGGTGCGTGCACACTTGTGAAAGTGCTTTTGAGGCTAGAACCGGGAGGGAACCACACCACTCCCACACGTGTGTAGTGTGACACAAGCGATACACACTCCTACACATGCCACACACACTCCCAACGGTCGTACACGTGCCACACACACTCCCAACGGTACACACTCCTACACGTGCTACACACTCCCATACGTGCGACGGGCATAACAGTACACACTCCTACACACGCCACACACTCCCACACATGCACATGTGCACGTGGCCTCAAAAACACATGCACGCGTCCTCAAAAACACATGCACGTGCCACACACTCCCACACGTGCGCACTTGCACGTACGACTCACACATACACGCGTGCATGTGGCCTCAAAACACCTTCACATGTGTGTGTGTACGCATCACACATGCGACACACACCACTCTTACATGTGCCACACGTGTGACATGCACATGCACCCATGCATGTGCACGGATGCCCTAGTGTTTTCACACTTGTGTTTATCTTCCAATTACATAGTTATTTATATAGCATATTTGAATACTCATCTTTTGATGTGGGATAATTCCCGAACATGATTAAATGAAAACAGAATGTAAATATATATTATTAATAGGCAATTTTAAACACATGCTAAGGAGGCATGATGGTTATCACGAATGTTATTTGCTTTGATTTTTTAAGTTCGAATCCCCATTTGGCCCATATAATAGTTTATCCCTTCTTGAGCTAATTTTTGTTCCCCCTTGGGCATATAATAAATTAGAGTGTTATAATTTTTTGTTCCCTCTTGGGCATATAATAAATTAAAGTGTTATTTCCAAAATTTGTACGCATTTTATTAATTTTTACATTGATAACCAAATCTTTTATTTTATTTATTAATTTTTTTGTTATAAATCATGTAATATACTATTTTTATTACAGTTGTCAATAATACATTTTAAATTAGATAATAATATAAAATATTTTTAATTTGTTATTATTTATCTAATAAAATAATTATAAAATGTAAACTAATAATTATAATTTCAATATATAATATTATAATTAGTTAGGTTGTAATAATTTTGGATTATAATTAGTTAGGCTGTAATAATTTGGGTTTTTTTAACGGATTAGGGTTTTTTGCCAAAACGAGATTTTAATGGCCATTCTTTCATTGATTTAGTCTACTATTTAGTATAGTCCACGTATAATTATATATTTTATCCATGATAATTCTATGATTTTTCTTTTATGTGATGCAAATTTAATACTTAAGTTTATACAGGAAAAGAGCATCTCAATATTTACAAATTGATGAAAAAAATGAAAGTTAATAATGTAGTATCCCCATTTCTTATTGAATTCCTAAAAACAACATTTATAATGAATTTTAATAAATTTTTCGGATTTTTTTGAAGCTTTAATCCAACTGATTCCCTATTCGGATCGCCGATTCGTCGATCCGGATCGATTTTTGAGGTTCCCGATCCGGGTCGCCGATCCGCTTTTTAAACCATTGGTTAAGATATTTACCTGGCGTTGGTTAAACACTTCTCTCATAATTACGCCTTCAAATCATTGGGTGCCTATTAAAGTGCATTAGCTGTTGAAAGATTTTTTAGGTACGTCATAATAAGGTGCACAAACTTTCAAAATTTCAGATTAATCTGGATTGTAAAAATAATAAGTTCCAACCTAACTACATTTTCCCATTTTAAACATTAAAGTTTGGATACCATATTAGAATCACCTAGCAAGTATTTTCATTGAAACGAAAATTGGATTTTGGGATTTAAAACTCTTAAATCTCTTTTATTTAAGGTAGTCAAAACGACTATATTTCGCCATCCAAAATTTGAACGGTGTCCATTCAATGGATTGCAAGGGTCAAATTACAAAAAAATCCTTGCTTATTTTGGGTTCCCAACCCAAAACAAGATTTTTAATAAAAGACATGTTGCTAATTTAAAATCATGACAAGGGAGTGTATTTAAGTTATTTGACTCAAGTAACTTAAGAGTCAAACTACTAAAACACCTTCAATTATTGAGGACAATAAACCTAAATCAAGGTGAATTCCAATATTTTTCATAAAATTATTATATAAATAATTAAATAAACGGATTTTTAAAAAGAAAAATATATCTTTAGTACAAAGAAGTTACAATCAACTTTAGACCTTGGATGTAAAATCAGATAGCTAGAGATGTTCCATTGAGAGAGCATAATAGTTGGGCTGGCCATAAGCAACATAGATATAACACTGGTTAAGTGGTATGATTTGGTTCCAATGGAAGACTCTAAAAAAAAGCAAGGGGAAGGCCCAAAAGTACATGGATAGAATGAGTGATAAAAGATATGGTAACATATGGTCTTACCGAAATGATAGAACAAGATTTGTGTAGCCGACCCCAAATAATTAGGATGAGGCTCAGATGATGATGAAGATATATCGAAGTAACTTGCACCTAACAAAATATTAGAAAAATATTTTTGTAAAAAATAAAATGATAGTTTTACCTTTTAAACTTTGATGGGTATTTTGATCAATTTAT